CAAAACACTACAATTGAATGAGTTACAGGTTGTCACAGGAACTGCTGCCCCAGTGTCATAAGTGAAATATGCTATGGGGACACTTTAAGTTCAGTCAGGCTTGTAACAGCAAATCTTAAGGTATCTGTGATGGCTATTCTTGGTTGTGAACTTGAGTGTATCTGGAATGAACTACAATCAAGAATTGGAGGGTACACATATGATCCTGATCTTAAGTCTGAAAGACACCGACTTTTTGTTTGTTTTTGTTCTTGTTTTTAGAGACATTGTTTCTCTTTTTAACAGCCCTGGCTGTTCTGGAACTCACTCTGTAGAGTAGGATGCCCTTGAATTTACAGAGACCAACCTGCCTCTGCCTGGATTAAAGGCCTGTGCCACAATCCAGCAAGACACTGCCATTTGATCCAAATCGCCAGGCACAAAACTTAAGTCCAAATGGATCAAAGACCTCAAAATAAATCCAGCCACACTGACCCTCTTAGAAGAGGTGGGTGGTACCCTTGAACGAATTGGTACAGGAGACAGCTTCCTGAACATAACACCTGTAGCACAGACAGTGAGATCAACAATACAAAAATGGGACCTCCTGTAACTGAGAAGCTTCTGTAAGGCAAAGGACACAGTCAGCAAGACAAAAAGGAGGCCCACAGAATGGGAAAAAATATTCACTAATCCCACATCAGGCAAAGGGTTGATCTCCAAAATTTACAAATATCTCAAGAGGTAAGTCCAAAACATCAAAGGACCCAATTAAAAAGTGGGCTGCAGAACTAAATAGAGAGTTTTCGATAGAGGAGTCTAAAATGGCTGAGAGGCACTTGAGAAAGAGCTCAACATCCTTAGCCATCCGGGAAATGCAAATCAAAACTACTCTGAGATACAATCTCACTCCTGTCAGAATGGCTAAAATCAAAAACCCCAATGAAAATTTATGCTGGAGATAATGTGGTGAAAGGGGAACACTCCTCCATTGCTGGTGGGAGTGCCAACCGGTTCAGCCACTTTGGATATCAGTATGGAGATTCCAAGAAAAATGGGAATAAACCTACCACAAGACCCAGCAACTGCACTCAGGCACATATCCAAAAGATGCCCATTCATACAACAAAGATGTCTGTTCCATTATGCTCATGGCAGCATTATTTCTAATAGTCAGAACCTGGAAGCAACCTAGATGTCCCCTAACCGAAGACTGGATAGAGAAAATGTGGTACATTTACACAATGGAGTACTATTCAGCAGAAAAAACAATGGAATCTTGAGATTCACAAGCAAATGGATGACACTAGAAGAAACCATCCTGAGTGAGGTAACCCAGTCACAAAAAAAGAAACATGGCATGTACTCTCTCATATGTGGATTTTAGACATAGATCTCGGGAGTGCCAGCCTACAATCCCATAGCCAGAGAGTCTGGGAAACAGAAACTTCATTCAGTGGCTGATGGAAGAAGAGGCAGACTCCCTCGGTTAATTACTGAGCTGAACTCAAGAAAATCAGTAACACAGAGGGAGGACTGATGACCAAAGGAATTAAGACTGGGCTGGTTTATCCCCCAGAAACAGCTGACCTTACAAAGGTTAACTATTGAATCCCAGGCATCAGCCTGGGAATCCAGCATGGGACTGTCAAGAACCCCTGAATGGGGGTGTCAGTGAGGAGGCCTAGGGAATCTATTGAGCCTTGGGCAGCAGATCAGTACCCATCCCAAGTATACACATGGACTTTGGACTCCCATCCAACAATGTGAGGTGCACTCTCCCCCTGAACTCTTGGGGAAGGGTCTAGGCCCTGCCCTATTTGAAATGACAGACTATGGACACCCCCATGGATGGCCTCACCCTCCCTGGGGAAATGAGGGGATAATGGGGGGGCTGGGGGAAGGGCATGGGAGGCGGTGAGGGAAAGGTAGAGGGACGTGGAATTGACTTGTGAAGCAAGCTTGTTTCTTATATAAATTTAAACTGAAAAATAAAAAAAATAAAAAACGGAATAAAGAAAGCATCTTCAACAAATGTTGCTGGCATAACTGGAGGCTGGCATGTAGAAGGAAGCCAATCAATCCATGTTTATCCCCATGCACAAAACTTAAATCCAAATGGATCAAAGACCTCAACATAAATCCAGTCTCACTGAACCTCTTAGAAGAGAAAGTGGGTGGTACCCTTGAACGAATTGGTACAGGAGACAGCTTCCTGAACATAACACCAGTAGCACAGACAGTGAGATCAACAATTGATAAATGGGACCTCCTGAAACTGAGAAGCTTCTGTAAGGAAAAGGACACAGTCAGCAAGACAAAAAGGCAGCCCACAGAATGGGAAAAAACATTCACTAACCCCACATCTGACAGAGGATTGATCTCCAAAATTTACAAAGAACTCAAGAAGCAAGTCTCCAAAACACTAAAGGATCCGATTAAAAAGTGGGCTGCAGAACAGAATAGAGAATTTTCAATAAAGGAGTCTAAAATGGCTGAGAGGCACTTGAGAAAGTGCTCAACATCCTTAGCCATCCAGAAATTGCAAATCAAAACTACTCTGAGATACCATCTCACTCCTGTCAGAATGGCTAAAATGAAAAACACCCACGACAATTTATTGTGGAGAGGATGTGGTAAAAGGGGAACACTCTTCCATTGCTGGTGGGAGTGGCAACAGGTTCTGCCATTTTGGAAATCAGTATGGAGACTCCTCAGAAAAATGGGAATAAACCTATCTAAAGACCCAGCAACTCTACTCTTAGTCATTTATCCAAAAGATGCCCATTCATACAACAAGGATGTCTGTTCCTCTATGTACATAGCAGCATTAGTTGTAATAGCCTGAACTTGGAAACAATCTAGATGCCCCTCAACCCAAGAGTGGATAGAGAAAATGTGATACATTTAATTAATGGAGTACTTTTCAGCAGAAAAAAAAACAATGGAATCCTGAGATTTGCAGGCAAATGGATGACACTAGAAGAAACTATCCTGAGTGAGATAACCCAGTCACAAAATGAGAAAAATGGCGTGTACTCTCTCATATATGGATTTTAGGCATAGATCTCGGGAGTGACAGCTTACAATCCCATGGCCAGAGAGTCTGGGAAACAGAACCTTCATTCAGTGGCTGATGGAACAAGAGGCAGACTCCCATGGCTAAGCACTGAGCTGATCTCAGGAAATCCAGTAACAAAGAGGGTGGACTGATGACCAAAGGGATTAAGACTGGACTGGTTTAACCCCCAGAAACAGCTGACCTGACAAAGGTCAACACTTGAATACCAGGCTGATGCCTGGGAATCCAGCATGGGACTGATCAAGACCCCCTGAATAGGGGTGTCACTGAGGAGGCCTAGGTAATCTAAACAGCCTTGGGCAGTAGATCAGTATTCATCCCGAGTATACACACGGACTTTGGAATCCCATCCAACAATGTGAGATGCACTCTTACCTTGAACTCTTGGGGGAGGGTCTGGGCCCTGACCTGGCTGAAATGACAGACTGTGGACACCCCCATGGAGGGCCTCACCCTCCCTGGGGAAATGAGGGGATATTGTGAGGGATTGAGGGGAGGGCATAGGAGGAGGGGAGGGAAACAGAGAGAACTGGAACTGACTTGTGAAGCAACCTTGTTTCTAGTCTAAATTTAAACTTTAGAATAAATAATAATAAAAAAATTCCATGACTACATGATTAAAGATAAGAATTTTAATAAACATGATTCATTAAAGTTGTTTATTTGTATAAGTAAATATCCATATCTGGCAACATGCTACAACTTAATTCAAGTTCATGTATCAACAGAGTTTCATGGCAGCAAATCCCGTAAGTTTTAGCTAATTTTTTAAAAGACCAATTTATCACTACTATATTTTAATATTGTTGCATTTGATCCAACATCTTTTTTGTTTTTTTTTCCAGACAGTATTTCTCTGTGGCTTCGGAGGCTGTCCTGGTACTGTCTCTTGTAGACAAGGGTCTCAAACTCTCAGAGATCCGACTGCCTCTGCCTCCTGAATGATGAAATCTAAAGTGTGCCCCACCACCACCTGGCTTGATGTAACATCTTTAAAAGCATACATAAGCAAATCAGAGAGAGGTACAAAATTGTAAATTTTACAAAAAGTGCACCAAAATATTTTTTCTTGTAATAATACATAAACAGTTATTCACTAAGATTACAATGATAGTGCACTGTAAATGTAAAATGGAATTATTTTGGCTAATTTGTCATTAGATAACTGACAAATATTTGAAGAGATGCACATATTTAACCAGATTTAAATATTATACATTATAAATATTTAAAAAAATATCCCAGTACTCTATTAATATATACAAGTTTTCAATTAATGTTTGAGTCAAAATAAATAAAATAAATATTTATGTACAAATAAATTTCCATGGTTTTAAACAATTTCTACAAAGACAATATTCATGAAAAGAGCATAGACTGTTCAGAAGCAAAATGATATGCAACATTACATTTTTTAAATGCCACAAAGCAGCATAATTGCAGTGCTGTGGTGCTGATGAATGTTTTAAGAACATTATGTATTGCAATAGGACAGAGTATCTCTATCTACCTGTGTTTCTCCTTATCCTGAATATTGGAGGTGAGATTCACTGTTTGAAACAGCAAGGCCTAAGAGGCCCTTTCTAGAATTTACTGGTACCACTTGTATACACGGTGCCTACCATTATAAAACTGGTTTTATAGTTTATTCGCATAAATGTAAATAGCTTCTAGGTTCTGTCTCAAGTGGGTCTTCCTAAGCCTATGGACCTGATGAAGGCAATACTATGGCAAATTCCCCTCTCCCCAGACAGTACTCCTTTGTATTTAGTAAGCAAAGGAGGGGTTCAGGTGGAGAAAACAAGGGAACACAACAGCACAGAGAAGATAGGTCCCCTTCTGTCAGGCATGCTCTGGGTTTTAAACGATAACATAGGATACGAAATTGACAAAGACGGAGTCTAAATCTGAGCATTCCGCTAAGGGCCATGTCAGTCAGTCAGTCATCTCCACCTTCGTCTGTACTGATAGAGTCTGAGGAGCTGCTAGAGCCCTCCTTTTTGCCATCTTCCATTGTATTCATATTCTGCCTGGATGCCTGTGAGCCTCCATCGTGGCCCTGAATACTCTTTGGGGAATCTGCTCTAGGAACCAGCGTTCCTTGCATTTTTACAGGCTTGACTTGCAGCTCCTTTGCTGAGTTGGCCTCCGGATGCATTGGTTGACATTTGGGGCTTGGACCTCCAGACTTGGCAAAGTTGTTTCGCTTCCCAGAGGTGGCCCTTGCCTCTTTGTATGCATCATTCTCCTCTGGTGACAATCCCTTGAGCCAGAGGTCCATTTTCACCCAGTATTGTTTCTGTAGCTCTTCAGCCTGACGGCCATAATGCTCTTTCTGGCTCGCTGGGACTTGCTGCCATAGTCTGCTAATTTCAACACGGCGCTTCCTAAGGGGTAGATGGCGCAGCTCCAGACTTGACCACGAATCTTGGTGAAATTTGTGGTACCCATTCATAGGGGGTCTCTTGGGTTCTCTCTGAAATTTCAACACTGCGGGAAGTGCTTTGGGAGATTCCTTTTTTAGAGGGGACCTTACGATTTTCCTGTCTCCTTGTATTTTCTTAGGGATTTTGGTTTGGTGGTTCCTGATCACCACAGATTCCTTAGATTGCTCTGCACCACTGTGATTTTCCCTGAATTTAGTTATTTTTTCCTTAAATTCTTGTTTCTCCTTCTGGAAGGCCTGAATATATTTCTCCTTGACCTCTCCTGGCAGCTTGTTGTATTTCTCAGCCAGGATTTTGGTCAGCTGTAGGTTGTTGTACTTAGGATACATCTGACAGTACTTGGCCCGATGCTCCTTGTAAAAACGCAGATAGGCAGTCAGGGGTCTTTTGGGGAAGTCAGGATGTTTCTTCACTGTCTTACATTTGCGAGGTTCTTTAGTAAGTTCAGAGGCTTCCAGAACTAATTCTGAGAGTGTGCGGTACTTCCTCAAATTATGAGAAATCTGCATCCACTTTTCTTTGCACATTTTTCCCGCAAAATGGTTAAAAGCCACTTTGTCCCAATCTAGATCTTCCTGGGTCTTTTTGAACGATCGGAAGTCGTCTGAGGGGATATTATTTTTCATGCATTCCAGTAACTTCAGAATGTCTCTTTCTGACCAGTGATGTTGTTTATCAAACGATTCCATTACTAGCGTAGGTTCTGTGCCCACCAATAGTATCTCTGTTTGCAAACACCTAACGGTAGTTCAAACTGCTTAGACAAACACACACAACTTAGTAGATAGTTTCTGAATTCCACAGCTTGTGTGAATCTGTATTTCTGAGGAGAAATAAAAAGAATGCTAACCTTCAGTGTTGGGATTTGCAAAAACAAATCAGGTATCACTTGCAACATGTTCCCTACACAATTTATTTACTATTAACCATGTAAACGGATAATGCATCCTTTTGAAATACAAGGATTTTTTGCTTTACATATAATATATGCTTCAGCCTCCTTTTCCAAACATGACCAGAGCTTACATGAAAAACGAGGGAATGAAGTGGGCCATGGTGATATACTGCTTTATTCCCCAGAACCAGGGAGAGACAGAGAGAGAGAGAGACAGAGAGAAAGAGGGGGGAAATCCTGATGGGAAATGGGATAAAAAGACAAGAACAGAATTACAAAAAATAAAAGGACTTCCCCAATGCAGAGCCCCTAAGTGTGGCTGCTCACTGGATAGAGCCAAGATGTTCATCACTTACATGCAAATGAGAGGAAAACAGGAGACAAGACACTGACCTCCCTAGATATCCAACTGCGGCATTCTTATGGTGTGGACACGTGTTTATAATAAATGATGGATTTACATAGTTCTCTAGGACTTTGCACTGGAAGTCAAACCAAGTCTTCCATTGGTTTCAAACCAGCTTGTCATGATCACATTTGCACTTTTATTTGGCTACTCTTTCTACACACACACAAGCCTAAGTAAAGATACTGCCTGTCTCATAAGCATTCTTTAAAATATCTGGAAACTAAACTTGAACACATAGCAACTTCTATGAGGGTTGCTAGTCTCACACCAATATTGTACTTTCTCTGAAATGTGGCTCAACAGATCACTCTGAATATTCTCATTATTTTTTTCAAAAATGTTCTCTGAACCTTACAACCTTACATAAGCCAAATTGTACGCAATCTGCTGAGCTGTTTGTTGTTTTTTGTGCACATATGTTTTCAGAGCTAAGTGCTCTGGCTCATCCTTGGGAGAGGGTAATTCTCTCGAAGGATACATCTTGAGAGTAAACTTCCAAATACTTGAGAGTAACACTGAGAATTATTTTAATTATTTTTAAGTGTGATAACATAAAAATGATATATCCATCCATCATTTAAAATGTCTCTGAAAAGAACACTGATTATAAAACTAGTTGAATCATACCTTCAACTTTTTAAAATTGAGTCAAAATCAACATTATCAAGCACAGGCTTGCTTCCCATTCAGGATCCTCCTTTCTGAAGGTCCCAAGTAGAACCAAGTAAAACTGAATGGTTTCCATTGACCGAATTCCTGGAACCCAGTGTCAGAGAGGGAGGAGGGATGAGCAAAGGATTAAGACTGAGCTGGAGAAACTCACAGAGACAGCTACCCTGAAGAAGGGGGAGCACTTGTACCCCAGACTGAGAGGCCGGCATGGGACAGATCCAGATCCCCTAAATTTAGGTGTCAGTGAGGTGGCCTCCACAATCTATGGAGCCTTGGGCAGTAACTCAGTATTTATCCCTAGCATAACAATGGAATTTGTGTGCCCATGCCACAATGAGGGATGCTCTCTCATCCTGGACACTTGGGGGAAACTCTAGGCCCTTCCCTGAATGAAATGATGTATTCTGGCATTCCCCCATGGAGGACCTCACCCTCTCTAGGGAAAGGAGTGGGGACTGGGTAGGAAGCTGGGGGAATTGGTAGGGGCACAGGGGAGGGGGGGAGGGGGCCTGAGGTGGGATTCACATGTGAAGCAAGCTTGTTTCTAATTTAAATAAAATAACTGAGTGGTTTGAGTTAGCTTTTTGATTATTCTCTTAATGCTAGGGAGAGAACAAAACATGTATTAGGCAAGCTATTAATGAGCTGAGACCCTGCCACTAGGAGTTCCTTAAATGTATAATGTTACTAAATGAATGTGTCATAATACACTAATAACATAGTATTTTTAAATGCTTTAAAAATACCCAGGTGGTGGTGGTGCACACCTATAATTCCAGCACTCAGGAGGCATAGCCAGGTGAATATCTCTGAGTTTGAAACCAGCCTGGTCTATAAAGCCAGTTCCAGGACAACAAAGCTGTTACACAGAGAAACCTGTCTCAAAAAAAAAACCAAAGCAAACCAAATCCCCCACCCAAAAAGCTTCAAAATATATTTGAGGCTAAAGACTGTAGTTTCTCATACTGTAGAATTCTTTACATACATACCATTTTTTAAATTCTATACTGTACATTAAGTTTAGATCCCAAGCAAAAAAAAAGAATGACATGATACCTCCATACATTCAATATTTAGGTTCACAAGGAACATAAACTAGATGGAAAAATCACATTAATTTTAAAGTTTAAAGTCATGATAGACTGAAACTCTGTAGCTTAAGAGGAATCTCAGTATAATGACATCCTGTGTATAAACTATGTCCCATAGAACTATTTGAGAATCTTTGAATTAGAAAAAATATAAAGTCATACACTCAGGATTTCAATTCAACTCCAAATCCTCTGGTGTCATCAACGTTGCAAGAAAGTTTGTCATTTGCTTCAGGAATGCTGTGTCTTTGTCTTCTCAGTTCTCTGCACACCTCCAAGTGCCTATGAACTGAACACAACCTCCAGTTGAAAAGACTTTATATTAGAGAGCTGGAAGCCCCACCTTAGGGTGGAGTGTTTACATATTAGCCTGATCTTATCATCTCTTTCCTTAGCACTCTGGGTACACTTTGAGTGTTTCTTGGTCCCTCATTTATGTTTTCCTGTATGCAACTAGACACTCCGGTAATGAATTGTCTCTGTCTGTATGTGTCTCTCTAACACCCTGATTTAAATAGGGTCCCTCTGTTATGTACAAGAACTGGAAGAAAGAGCAAACCAAAAAATACAAGAGATGGGAGATAAAGCAAAACAAAAAATGCAAGAAATGGAAGAAAAAACAAACCAAAAATTCATAAGGCAACAAATGGTTGAAAAGATACACAGAAAATTGCAAGAAACAATGCAAACAGTACAAGGCTTGAAAACTGAAATAGAGACAATAAAAAAACACAATCTGAAGAAAAGCAGGAAATAGAAAAGCTGGGCAAACGGTCAGGTACCACCGATACAAGCATTACCAACACAATGCAAGAGATGGAAGAGAGAATCTCAGCTGTTAATGATACACTAGGAGAAATGGATTCATCAACCAAAGAAAATCTTAAGTCCAACAAATCCTTAACACAAAACATCCAGGAAATATGGGACACCATGAAAAGACCAAACCTAAGAATAATAGGTATAGAAGAAGGAGAAGAAAACCACGTCAAAGGGATAGACGACATATTCAGCAAAACATAGAAGTAAACTTTACCAACCTTAAGAAAGACATGCCAATGAAGGTACAAGAAGCTTACAGAACACCAAATAGAGTGGATCACAAAAAAAATCCCCTCGCCACATAATAATCAATACGCCAAATATACAGAATAAAGAAAGAATATTAGAGAAGCTAAGGAAAAAGGTCAAGTAACATATAAAGGCAGACCTATCAGAGTTACACCTGACTTCTCCATGCATACTCTGAAAGCCAGAAGGTTCTGGATAGATATTCTACCAACACTAATAGACCATGGATGCCAGCCCAGACTACAATATCCGGCAAAGCTCTCAATCACTATAGACCGGAGAAACCAAGATAGTCCATGAAAAATCTAGATTCAAGCAATACATATCCACTAATCCAGCCATACAGAAAATTTTGGAAGGAAAACTCCAACCCAAGGAAGCTAACTACAACCAGAAAAACATAGGCATTAGAGAGTCCCTCTCTTCCAACAGCCAAAAGAACAAAGGGGTGAAATTCCACACATAATTCCACCAACAACAACCATTGCAAATCGAAGAAGAATGAGCAAGCAATGGTCATTAACATCCCTCAACATTAATGGCCTCAACTCACCCATAAAAAGACACAGGCTAGCAGAATGCATTCAAAGATAGAATCCATCCCTCTACTTCATACAAGAAATACATCTCACCCTCAAAGACAGACATTACCTGAGAGTTAAAGGTTGGGAAAATTTTCCAATCAAATAAACACAAGAAACAAGCTTGGGTAGCAATCCTAATTTCTAACAATCTAGACTTTAAAATAAAGTTAATCAAAAGAGATGAAGGAGGTCAATGCATACTCATCACAGGTGAAATCCACCAAGATGAAATGTCTATCCTGAACATCTATGCCCCAAATACAAAGGCATCCACATTCATAAAAGAAGCATTACTAAAACTTAAATCACATATAAAGACCCACAGACTTACAGTGGGAGATTTCAACACACCACTCTCACCACTAGACAGGAATACCAGACAGAAATTCAACAGAGAAGAAAAGGGTCAAATAGAAGAAATGACCGACTGGGAATAACAGACATCTATAAAACAGGTAATCCACATAACAAAGAATATACCTTCTCACTACCACATGGAACCCTCTCAAAATCGCCCACTTGGTAACATATCCAACCTCAGCAGCTTCAAAAAATTGGAATAACTCCATTCAACTTATCAGAACACCATGCTTTAAAATAGAATTCAACAACAACAACAGAAATTGCAGAAAACCTACAAACTTATGGAAATTGAATAATGCACAACAGCACTATTCCTGGATCAAAGAAGAAACAAAAAAAGAAATTAAAATCTTCCTAGAATTCAATGAGAATGAAGACAAAACATACCCAAACCTATGGGACACTTTAAAGAAGGGCTATAGGGGAAGTTCATAGCACTAAGTGCCACATGAAGAAACTAGATAATAGTTATACTAGAGAATTAACCGCACAGCTAAAAGCTCTAGAACACAAAGAAACAAGCTCCCCCAGAAGGAATAGTCGCCAGGCAATAATCAAATTTAGGGCTGAAATCAATAAAGTAGAAACTAGGAAAACAATACAA